CTGGCTTTGCTTCTTTACCAGGAGACTTCTCTTGGTGCAATCCTGTGCTGCTGTGCTGAGAAAGTGACCCAAGCTCCTTCTGCAGCATCCCTGCCTGGACATTCCTGAGCTTCTTACTGGAAGTTAAACGCTCAACAGCCCACATCAGCCCTGCAGCTAGCCCTAAAATGAGAAAACCAGCACAAATTTTGTGCTGCTAGATCAGAAGATGCAAATGCACACAGCCATATCCCCAGCCAGTGGGAATCAGCCCAGATTTTGATTGCCAGGCAAGGGAAGAGATGGGAGGTGTAAATATAGACCAGAGCATCAAAGATGTCCCTCCCCATGCTGCCTGGAAACGGACTGCTCACTTGGCTGAACTGGGCCTTTATGGCAGGACCATATTGGTCTGAAGACAATATTGCTGCAAGAAGAGGGAGCAGGGGTCCAACATGCTATGATGCTGTCACACGATGAAGTCAATCCAGAGGTCAGCAGGCTTTCCAGCCAGAGCCAGGACTCATAAACCGAGCACAGCAGAGCTACGTGCTCTCAGTGAACCACCTCTGCTCTCGGGCTGCATCTTGGCTCTAGGGGAAGCTTGAAAAATGGTATTTTACCAGCAAAAGAGCCTGCTGGGCTCCTCACGAGTGGAGAAAGGTGGTATGCGAAGGGCTTGGCAGCTGAGGCAAGAGAGGAACAGACACTTGGAGACAATGCTGACCCCCACCTTCAGCAGCAATGATAAAAGGGACACCCTGAGCCCTGTTGGGCGAGGGAAACGATGGGACCCCCCCGGGCAGCACCCCTGGAATGATACCCCCCCTCGCTGCCAAAGTGCAGAGAGCTGCAGACACCTCTGGCACTTTGTAGGCAGGAGCTCTTCTTTTTGCTGACAGACAGGAACCAGACAGCTAAAGCAGTACTGCACAATTAGCGGTTTTATGGCATAGAAAAATTGATGACAAAGTCCTCCAGTAAAGAACATGTGATCAGTCCTTGCTTGCCGGTGAAAGAGGCAACAGCAGCTCCTGGGTTTGTAAACTCCCGGCTGCTGGCAGGACGAGGACCACAGAGGCACACGCCGCTGGAGCCGCTTGGGCTGGGAGCACGGCCCGGCGGCGAGCAGAGCCAAGCCCTGAAGGGAGCCCCTGGATACAGTCGTACGAGCGACTGCAGGGTGAGGGTGCCTTGCGCTGGCTCGCACCCTGGCATCAAACCGTAACACCCCAAAGGGAACAGCCACGCAGTCAGTGCTGGCTTATTGACTCACCGAGAGGAGAACAGCACTGGGTTGTGGAACTGAATTGCTACCGTGAGCTGGGCTAGGTGCTTCAAAGTCAGTTGGGCTACATCTCTGCTGTACCTGGAGCCAGTTGGGGAAATGGGATGTAAGGGACCCCGGGGGGACAGGCAGGAAGGTGGAGACATGGGACATGTGTTCCCCCACCCCCCAAAATCCTAAGTGATATTTCAAGTGTTGAATTAGCTGTAATCTCTGCATTCAGGCACGGAGGAGAGGCAGCCTCGTCCTCCTGCATTCCAGTTCCCCCCCCCGAGCAGAAAGAGGGGCTTCACATCAGCAAAGCAGCTGAGACTCCCTCATTTTTGGGGGGAGAGTGCAGGTCTATTTTCATTATATGCCATTGTCATCTTCTGCCACTGCATCTGCGTGAGACATGTTGACTATCACTTCTGCAGCTGGGGGTGATGAGCTCCCTCAGGCAAGGGACACTCCCAACTCTCTGTGGTGATCGTCCTCGTCATAATCTTCTTTCTCGTCCTCCTCATTCTTCTGCAGATCTTGGTCACTGTCACCATCATCGTCTGCTGCATTGTTTTCAATCACTTCCACCCTCTCTCCAGCATCTGGATCCACATCGGTCTTAAACCACACAGCCTTGTAGCCATCATCTGCCACATGCCTGTCTGTCTTGAGGATGGACTTCACTTCTTTCTCAGGCTCAGTCTCTTTTTCCTCTTTCTCTTCTTCCACTTCTTTCTCTGTCTCTTCCTGGTCAAAGGTGATGGTGGAAGCTATAGAAGCCTTTGAGAGGCTATGAACTTCTTCTGCATTGGAAGAGGGTGAGGAAAGGGCTGGCTGCTCTAGCACATGCGTCATCGACTGGACATTGCCATTTTCTGACGTCTCATGCTGTTGGGTGCTCACATCTGGGTGTTCGTCTTGCTTGTAAGATTGGTTCTCGTAAGCCTGAGAGATTTCCTTGGAGAACTACAGGAGGAGAGACATCTTGTGATCATAGTGAAAGGAAAAGAAACAGGGGGGAGGATGGGGCTGGCTGAAGTGGCTGAGCTCCTGCTCAGGAAATCTTCACCCTGTTTTGCAGTTAGACCTATTGAAGCCTGGGAAAGATGCAGTTCCCTAGAACAGCTATTTTTTTATGGACTTCAGTTCTGGATTTTTTTCAGATAAGCACGGACAAGTTTTCCAGGAGGGCTGAGCACCAGCAATGTACGCTGATTTGTACCCATGCATTTGAGGTATTACTCTGGAGCGGGATTTACCTCAGCCAGGGTGAAGGACTGTTGTTATCCACCTGAGCTGGGTGCTCTGGACTCCGGTTGTTGCCAGTGGAGTCTGGGCTCCTGAGAGTCCCATGCTAGGGCAGAGACCAACAGCTGGTCAGATTAATTACACCCTAAACTTCAAAGTAACCAGACTGACGGGGACTTGAACGAGCCAAAGGTATATAGCGGAGGCGCAGATAACTGTCTAAGCCCAGGCTTTAGGATCGGATACGAGGGGACCTTTCTCTCCATTGACTAGAGGATGAACAGGGCTTTATACCAGACACATGGCTTTCGGAGACTACCTGTGATATGCATCACGTTCTTCCTAACTGTTGTACTCTGTGGAGCTGTGGTCCTCTCCTTACCACGTCTGGTCATCATCTACCACACAGTTCCAGCCTCAGGGGGCAGAAAAGAAGAGCAAACACCACCAAAGCGATGCTGCCTTTGCAAACAGTGTCTCAGGAGTGATTCATCGCCTTCACACAAACGTGTAGTATTTAGACAGCCCGTCCACACTTTAAAGCCTAAAAACTCTAAGAAATTCAGGTACAAACAAGGCACTTACCCTTTTCCTTATCAGGTATTTGACGGGTTTTCCATACCGTTTATATATCATCACTCCAAGGAAGAGTAAGGCAATTAATAGCAGGGCTGCTAATGTGCCCCCTAAGATAGCCATATCCTGAGCAGTGTATATCTTATCAGAGGGGCTTACAGCTACAAGAAAAACAAACCAGTGTTACAAAGCCTAAAAAAAATAGCAGCTAGCTTTTTTAACACAACATTTCACTGTGGGAGAAGCTCCAACCAAGTTTTGACAAGCAAAGCAGCATCCTGTGCTGCAGAATGTGACAGTGATATATTTAATGTCACAGAAGGCCATTTGTTCGCTGTACTAAAAGCAGAGGGGTGGGGGTTTTTTTTAAGGTGACCACTCACAGAATATTATAACTTCCAATAAGCTACTTGAAGTGGAAATAGCATCCATTTGCAGGACAATGACTTTTACCCCGTGATTTAGCTAAGTTAATATATACGTGGCTGTATTAGGCAAGCAGATGTTACATGGAGTAAAGCTATGTGGATCTTTTGCTTTCCTACTTCACCCATTTACACCAGCATGCAAAAGTGAGGTATGTTTGTACATATGTGCGTGAAAATGCAAAGCTTCCTTTAATCCAGAACTGTAACTGATTTATCCCCTCTGATACTGGTGAGCACGTTAAAATAAGAAAAGCATAATAGGAAACAGAAAAAAGCATTAGAAGGTCCGCAGGACAGGAAGCCCTTTTGTAGTGATATACACCAGCCTTCTCAGGAGCGGCTTCTGCTTTCAGCCACTGGTCAGTGTAAACGTATTTGTACAGAGACTGACATCAGAGTGGAGAGACAGTGATTTCCTCAGGGTTAATCGGCTTTGCTTCTTGTTGTCAGGGGGATTCTTTAAGTTTTCCAGTTTCATTTTGTAGTGTAAATTAGTGACTTTAAAGTGTAATTATTAATGAAACACAGTTTTGTTCTCTTGCTGACCTGTTTACGACATGTTATGGACTTTGAGTATTCCCTCCACATTTGATCTCACCCTCGGTTTATCATTAATACATAGCGAGGGTTTAGGCCATCGGTGAATTTTTGCTTCTTACTCATGTCTCCTAGGCAGCCACAGCCCACAGAGCTGATGTGAAACTCCACCACTTATCTCCTCCTGCCCTGTGCCGTACGCAGTGAAAGCTAGCTCACCTCGGTGGAATGACTCACTGACATCCATGTGAGCCGGCTCCAGAACCGGCGTCTCGGAAACCAGAGGCCAAGGTACAGTTATCACTTCCCCGAAGGAGAGTATATTAAAAATGACTAATTTCTCCCTGGTTATTGGAATTCCAGTAAAGCACTCTCCAACCCGTTGCGTGCACATTCCTTACCACCACCTCTTAGAGCTGAGGGTTAAATATCCAACAGATCAGCTGGGCAAGTGGTAACCTCAGCTCTGTTGAGGCCATTCCTGGGTGCTGGCTATAGTATAGAATAAAGCACAATTCCTCTTACAGGCTCCCAGCCGTTCAGTGTAACTTCAATCTCCTTTTTTACACAGTCACCAGCTTCATTATTTTGTGGGGTTTAAACAGCAAGGGCTATTCTATTTAAAAGTTGCGTAGAAGCGTTGGTTTGGAGTGTTTGTAGCTCTGTGTACTGACACCTGAACTAGCTTTCTGCTGAGCTGGACTCTGCCCTTAAGCTGAGCTTAGGTAGTTGTTATGCAGCCAGTGGTTTTAGTTGTGAAGTGACACTACCTTTAGAGAATCCAAATTTACAACCAGGAACCCACTTTTTTTCCCCCCCCCTACAGAAATCCTCACAATGGTCATGGTTTGCAGTGTGAAGTAATGGAAGAGCCCAACCGGGAACTTCAATCACATACCATCATGTAGAAACCAACGGAGTCTGGGCATCACCTGCCTATCCTGATGCGAAAACACATGATATTGCTTCATCTTAATCCAAAGCATAAGAAACTTCAGAAGCTTCAAATCTAACTGATTTATAAGATCTATTTAAGAGCCATTTCTAGGAAGTATGGAAGTGTAAGCTCCTTTTACATCAACAAAGCCAAATGATAGCTGGAGGGTTATGTACGTAGTCTCATGTCTATCTTATTTCTCATGGGTCATTTCTCCTGCTCAGACCTTAAAATCCTGGAGTATAGGAACTTGAGCTGAGTAGAAAATGCCTTGGCTCATGAGGAAACCTGGCTTCATGGGGGTGTGCCAACTTCTGTCTGCTCTGCAGGAAATAACGTTGCAGTTTTCTATCTTTTTGGCTAAAAAGGCGCAATGAGGTACCAAGGCGTCAGGGCAATCCTCCTTTGCCACGATAAGACATCCTGGGCTATTTCTGATCCGCAAAACAGCATGAAGCAACCCCAGATTGAGCTTTGGAATAACAAGAAAAGACACCACAATGCACAGCACCGCTTAAAGTCCCAGGAGGCTGTTTGAAGCATGTGGTGACCACATCATGAGGATGTTGCTGGAGTGTTTTCTCTCTTATAGCCACCACAGAACCTCCTGTAGGTATGGAGTTGGCCTCAGCCCTGGTCCACAGACTTCAGCAGGTGACCCGTCATTGCCAGTTTGCCCACAGAAGTGGAAAAGACTCCCCAGTCATTTTTGCTTTCTCCACAAAGCAGAAAACAGACACCCAGCCTACCTGCAGCAGGGATGACCTTCACCATGATTACAGTGCTCGCCTCCTGCATGCTCACCGTATCTTTTCCAACAGCCTATATGAACATGGGAAAAAGATATCTTAGGGACTTCCTAGACCTCCATTTCTCTCCCAAGGTATGTGGTGGGCCCTTTGTGGACAAAGTACCTAGTCCATATCCTCACCATATCCCTGCGTTGTAGCTGGACAATCTGGTCACAGAGGAAGAGGAGCTCTGAAGAGTCCCTGTCCTGGGCCAGAACCAGGTGCACGGTTTGTGTGCAGCTTTGCAGCGCGGTTCTCTACACAGATCATGAGGTGGTGTGGGACAGGCAGCAGCACGCGTTGGCACCTCTCTGCCCTGCCCATGTAGCTAAACCAACGCTATAGTCAAGCTGGTTCAGATAGATCCATGGGGATGGCATTGTGCTAGGCAAGTCTTGGGGAGCCAGTTGTCACTGGCAGGCAGATAGATAAAGTGAACGTTTAGCTTCTCAGAAGTTATTAACTCTAGTTATTAGCTTCTCTAAAGTCATTAACTGCTTCCTCTGACCTGAGCAAAAAAAGTACTGGGCTTACCAAAGGATTTCCAAGTTTGGGGCTATAGCCTTTAGAGCTGGGGTATATGCCAGCAATCATACCCCACCCCTACTCACACATCAACCTCCTACCCACCTTCTCACCCTCCTTTTTTTGTTAATCAGAGTGTGGGAGAGGGGCTCCCAAAATCTCCCCAGCTTTTTGCTTGTTTCTAATGATATTTTCTACAGAATTGGAGTAACAATTTTACAGCCAGCACCAGATATAGTCTGTATCACACAGAGTAAATTTGCTGTCACTTCATCTGCCTACACCCCTATACATTTATGATACAAATGGTTGGGCAAAGGACTGTACTTTTATTATATACCTTACCAAATGGAATTCCACCCTTGGTGCTTCTCTACTAGAAACTTCTACTAGAAACCCCTTCCTTCTCTGACCCCAGCAAGAAACAAAGAAAGTTGCCCTACCTCGATGGTTACCGTTCCCAGTGACTGTAGCACCACGTTTGTCAGGATGAGTCCATCTTTGGTTGCGATGAAATCAGTGCTGTTTTTTATGTAGTACTCAATGTTCGGGTTGACCTTCTGAAAAGCCAGAAGAGTGAATGATTAAACCACACTGTGCTTTGCGTGCATCTTCGTAACAACTCATTGGCAGGACTTGTCAAATACGCCTGAAGTATGAGCAGGTATATAGTGCAATAAATAAATCTAGACTGAGGAGATGAAAAAGGTTGAACTCCAATGTGTTCACCCTGTTGCTCGGAGTTCAAGAATGTATCCTAAAAGTGTTGCCTCAAAAAAAAATACCAAGTCTTACCCAGCTTGTGTTGGTATCTTAGTGTTTGCCCAAGCAAAACACATCTATGCAAGGGACCTCATAAATTTAATCAGTTTGCCTTTAATACAGCACCAAAGGGGGATGTACATGGAGAATAACACTTGTGCTGAGGTCTGCACAATTTTTTCCTTTGTCTAGGCTGTTATACCTCTACTAGGTTCCCAGTCTTGTTATGGAACCCTTGGCATCAAGAAAACTAGCACTTCTTTCTTTATTTAATAGGGCAGGATGGAAATGGCTGGACAGTAAGTCTCTTCCCCTTTTCTTCTCCCAGAATGTTGTTCGAGAATGGCGCTCTCAAAATGAGTCCTTATAGGGAGAAGGTAAACAATTTCCAGTCCAGGACTGCAGGTCCTCACTAGTCTGTTGTCTTTGGAGTAGCTCCTCTTCCCAGGCCAGCCCACAAGTCACTCTCCTTGACCTGGCAGAGAGAGGACACCTCCACCTGGGATCCTGCCACCCCAAACTCTTCAAGGAAACATTTCAGCCAGCCCTAATTCAGTATTTGCTAGCCCTGGGCTTTACTCAGTGTGCTGTTGTGCAGTGGATCAGCCCATCTACATAGATCTGGGTGGGATTGGCTTTTGGAAGAGAGGAGTCCAGCAGCTTCTCCACATTACATCACACCATAAGCGGTTCTGATCTATGTGGAATTTCCAGGGAAATACAATATGGAACACTAGAGGAAAACATGTGTTTGCCTCTCCTCACCCCCCTTTCCTCACGTTTTCTGATCCTGCTTTAAGCCTGAAGCCGTGAGAAAGAATGCAGTGCATTTTCAGTTTCTTACATTAGGGAAGTCATCATCCACTGCTGTTATCATCAGGGGGCTTGAAGGATCCCCAGCTTGGAAGACAAAGCTTCTTGGGGCCAGACCAACAAATACCGTCCCGTTGTAGATCTTGGTCTCAAAGTATGGTGCATTATCACTTTTATTGATGACCTGAATCTGTACACTGGCTATGGAGTATTTCTGTATGTTGTTGACCTGGGTGGCCTGGAGAGAAAGAGAGAGAGATGCTAGCCTTTTCGTGTTAGTGATGAGACATAAAAGGATAGGCTTGATCTGAAGCCCATTGCAACCCACGGGGTTCTTTCCATCGTTTTCAGTGAGCTTTGAGCAAGGCCTGTCAGAGGTGGCCTTATGGTTTGGAGTCTTTGTGTTTTAGCTTGCTTCTGCCGTTGGCCCTCCACAGAGTCTTGGTCTAGCCCCAAAATCTAGATATGACCCTCCATAAGGGCCATGTCTGGACAAATGGCCATGCTCCAGTACAAAGCAGTGAGATTCCAGCGCTAGCAGGCAGAGTCTGCTCGTCTTCATGAAGGTTTGGGTCAGTTCAAGTACTGCCTGATGGTCCACATCCTCCTGGGTATGTATGTGCAGGGAGTGCTTTTCAACTCCCTCCTCTCCTCTTGAGCTGTACCAAGAGAGGAATTAGTCTCTAGGATTGAGTTCCATTAACTCCTGTAACACAAGCTCCAGTCATGCCTAAAGAAAGCCTTCCACTTATGCTCCTCCATACTTTCAGCTCAGCAGGATGTCCCCATTCAGTTAATTTGCTTTGATGTTGCAACCCACACATAAGGGAAAATGCCTCAACTTCTGCAAGAGCTTTGCATATAAGTTGGTATAAGACACTGGTCAGATACTAGACCCTTCCAAAAGAAATCGTGTAACCAAGTTAGCTTTCGTTATTAATGTAATTGACTCCTGTCCCATCAAGACTGCTGCTTTTTAAAACGCCAGCTATGCTGGATTGTTGTCTGCAACGTCATCAGACTTACCATCACTTGCAATAGGTACGAGTCTGGGGAAGTTACTGCTTTGTTCATAGTTAGATTCCCTGTGTCTGCATCCACTGAGAATACGTCGTCTGCATTCCCTAGAGAAAATGGAAAGACCGTTCAATCATCAGATACCTTCATAAAGTGACCCGGAGCTCATCATTGACTCATTTTTTCACATCTTGTTGCCAATATCCCCAGGGCACAATGTTGTTTTCCTTGCCTGCCTGGCTGCTCCAGTGGCTGGGAGCGCTGGCGAGGGATTCAGAGGCACTCAACAGACAAAAAGCGTTGAGAAGATGGGCATGAAACTCCACTAGATGAGGTAGGACAGCAAAGCTTTGCATTTCCAGTGCCTAGGCCCAGATACAGCCAGCTTAAATTCTGCTAAATGGCGAGAGCCTAGAGACTCTGCTGCAATTTGAGGACTGAAGTCTCCGGTTTAACCCTAACCTGAACCCAAACCCCCACTGAACTCAAACTGCACTTCAGGAGAGATAAGGGAAGGATTATTCCTATTTTAAAGGCAAGAAGCCAATCTACAAAGAAAAGTTGGGTGGGGATTCATCCAGAATAGTTCTAGGCATCTAAAGGGAAGACATCTCTATCTGACCTCGTTACCTATATTGTGAATAAAAAATGGCATCTCAGTGCATGATTTATCTGACTTACTGTGAGCACTGGCCTCAACATGAGCTGCCTTCTGCCCTGGAAATGCTTATTTCTTTCTACCAACTACAAAAAGAGCCTAGACATGTAAACCTTCTTGTATTGATGTAGGGGTAGAAATCAGCTTCCTACATCTCTAATCTGCGTTTGAATCATAAAAACATCTATGTTGGATATATGTTAAAATATAAGCAAAATTTTTAGTTCTCTTCCTCACTCAGAGACACTGTGGGTTGTATTTAGACAAGGACCCCCCCCGAGTCTGGGGTTCCCTACTGCCCGTGGGGTAGGGATGCCACGCTGCATCCAAAATGCCGGTGGAATTTAAGGTTGGTTAATGTATTTCTTATCAGAAGGATATTCACAGATGTGGTGCCATGAGGTAAGGTAAAGGGAGATGAACAAGTGATCACTCCACCTGCCCAATATGATCCTTTGCCTTGATAGTTATTCAAAACCCCACTATCGTTTAAAAAAAAAAATCCTTTGAATGAAATAAATGGCCCAGTCAATGATTGGGCAATCAGCTGACTGTATTCAAGTAATCTTTTCAAAATCAAGACTAAACCAGGGCATATTAGACAGTGGCAGCGTTCTGGGGAATAAAAACATAATTCTTGGCAATGCATGAAAATTATGCTGCCGATGTGGGAATTTTAGGTTCAGCTCAAAGACTGAAAGTGCTGTGAGCAGACTGGCAAAATCAAGTCTAAGAGCTTCAAGATAAAACACATCTCACCTCCCAAAAAAACAAAGTCCTTCTGAAACAGATTTCATGGAGATTGGTTTGTGGGACTGTAATTCTCTTTTTCCTCCTCTCTGTTTCTTCTACTTAATCCACACTGTTCTGTGGATCTAGTTATGTTTCTGTGGCAGAGAAAGGGGCAAATCCCCAGGCCCTCAACTCTCACGTGCCGTGGAGGGTATCTCCTCTTGGCAGGTAACGTAGGGGACATACGAGCAGAGCAGTTCGTGGAAGGTGACAACTTCTACTCACCACCAACAATACTGTACACGATTTTTTCGTTTAAAGTGTAGTCAGGATCAATAGCATAGATAGGTCCCGGCTCTAGGATGAGTGGTTCCGTCTGCAATAACAAGGCAAAGCATGACATACCATGCTCCGCATTTCCCATGTTCTCCCGTCCCAGCGTAGCTCCGGTGGTTTTCTCTGGGCAGAATGGCATTTATTGCTGGGAAGTGGCTGTGACAGGGTGGAAGTGAGACAGCCTAGAGCAGGGGGTCTTCCAGCTCTCACCTCTCCTGCGATGTGCTGCAGGAGCAAGGACAAGCAGTGCTGCTTGGGGTGGGGGAACCTCCTCTTTCCAGGATGACGGCTCCCCGTCATGCTGAATCACCTGCGTGACTAGAGATCAGCACGAGCTCATGGAAATTATTAGGCACTGCGCACTGGGAGTAGCATCTGGATATTGTTTGAGAATAGCATCAACGATACTGTTTGACGGTGCCTGCTTACCGACATCTCGGAGATATTGACCCTCCCAGTATAGGGGCTGCTGATGCAAATGCTCTTGTCTGCATTAATGTAGTTGCAGGGTTGGAACCAGGGTGATTTGGTGTCAGCTTGTTCGATAAGTATGTTTATTGTTGCGGTAGCTGTGTTGGTGCTATCGGTGCTGCCCACAGGCCTGTCCTGTACCAAAGGCAAAGCGTACCCATGAGATGCAAGTCTTATTGCCAAAAGAACCACCCATCTGCAAAAGCCAGTGGCCCAAGGTCTTTTAGCTGTTTCAACTCCATTCTGCCTAAGGCTTAGCAGTTTACGTGGCATTAGCTAAAGCAGTGAATTATCTCCTTCTGCTGACAGAGGGGGACTGGATGCAAGGCTGGGCACAGGCACTGTGTAATTACAGAGGGTGGAAGGCTGCTCCAGATTGACACACACACACACCCCCAGTATCCACCTATCCCGCTGTCCCAGAGATCTCCCGCTGAGACTTACCCTTCAGCTGAGACATGGGGACAAACAAGGCATTTTGTTCCTCCTGAAGAACTTACCCTTGCGTACAAGACCAATGTTGTCAAATTAAGCTTCGCATAGTCCAATGCTTTTTGTAAATAAATTTCTGGGTTATTAACTCCTTTTATGGCAAAATAACCTTCTGTGCCCTGTGGGAGGAAAGCAAAAACCCTGCTAGCAGACTCAATCACAGACACGTTCGAACTACTGCTCGTTGCTGCGTTTCTCGTCCCAATCAGACCTTTAATCCTGGGGACCTGGGCGGGGGGCAGTGCGAGAATGCCAGATCTGTTCCACCTTTGGTATGGCACGCTGGAGTTGCCTGGCTTGTCAGAAAGGTTTGTTCACCTTCCGGTGAGTTTTCTTCTCCAAGATCCCCTGCTTTGCCTGCCTACCTGCTCAGCAGGTACTGGATGAAATCTTTTCCCTCATTTATTTCCTACACTCAACAGGTTGCCAACAATCCTTGATTTTGGGTCCACGACAGCCAAGCAATCTCATGTCCATACACAAAACATATCAAAGATGGCTCAGCCTCTGAGACCTGGCGAGATCGCTTGCCTTAGCCTAGCACAGCTGAACTTTGGAAGCAACTGTAAAGTCAAAATGAAATAACATATGTTGCGTTTTACTTCTGCACTTGCTTCGGTTCTCCTTTAATCTTATGTCTTGACTAGAATTCCTCTGAATTTCTAAATCCTTCTGGATTTACACCAATGTGAGTGGAAAGTCTGGTCTCAGAGCTGAAATTCAAAACCTTGTGGTTTCTGTGCACAACCCTTCAAAATCCCTGGGGTTATGGAGGCAGCACGTCAGACACTGCCGGCTCACTCCACAACACTTTTTAAAAATGTAAATATACATTTTGGTTTTCTCTTGTACTTTTTTTTTTTTTAGTTTCCAGCACTCTAAGCTGGCATCAATTTAACTGCGCGTACAATTCATTTCCCGCGTTTCCAAGCGAATCCCTTAAAAGCAAATAAACTAAGGCACTAAACTGGGACCTGGAGAAAGTGGAGTCTGCCTTTGGCTTTGCCAGAGGCTTTGTGCGTGATCTCCGACAGCTCGTGTTTATCTCCGCACGGCACGGACGCTGTCAGCCAACAGGACAATAACTCCTCCTTTCCCTCTCCGACTCAGCGCGATTCTGAGCTCTGGGAGGTACAAAGGTCTCTCCCGATAGGTTTACAGACCAGCCCAACAAGACTTCTCTGGATCCTACGGCTCAGAATATCCTAGATGAAAGTTTAATCTGTACAGTGTAATAAAAATGTGAGCAGTAAAAGAATTCAATACCTGCAATGTTGATTGCTCTGTTCTGCTAACCAGACCAATGTTTAGTACAAAAGACGTACTTCTTCCAGAAGTCATCAGACAACTAAACGCAATACAGTGACCTTAGCCTCAAAGCTGGGACTTTCCCGAGTTAAACACAAAGACTTCTCCAGAGCTACCATTTTTTCCCCCCCAAAGAACAAAGATGCTCACCGACACTGTTGTGAGTTCATAAAATATGATGTCCAGGTCAGCATCGCTAGCGCTTAAATCTCCACGGGCTACAATGGTTGCATTCACTTTTGTGTCCTGAAACAAAGTGGCTGTGGTTATTCTCTCTGTGAAATGGGCTGAAGACTTCTCCCTGCTGACCATTCCTTGGTCCCACAGCACTGGGTGACCCAGCGTCCTCTTCGCTTCTGTAGAACGCTTACCTCGGGAACGACTTTGGTGAGATTCGTCTGCTTAAACTCTGGGCTGTTATCGTTCATATTGAGAATGGTCACAAGGATTTCTAAAGAATCGCTCTGCAGAAAGGGTAAAGTGAATCAAAGACAAAGATAAGGCTGTTAGGGGCTGATCCTGACCAGAAGGGACGGTGCAAGGAACACAGCTGGACGGGGGCTGGATGGGGCTGGGGTTCACAGCCAGCCCACAGTGCGTGGGGGTTGTGGGTTTGTTCCCAGAGCCTTGGGCACTCTTTGACTGCGAGAGGGGTGCGTATGTCCGCAAAGAAAAGGACAGCCCCTCGTCCCGGTCTGGGACTAGGAGGAGCAGAGGGAAGCGCGTGGTGCCCAGCAGAACGGTGTCGCAGGGCTGAGCGCGTAGAAGAGCACTCACCTGCCCAGCAGCGTCCTGACAGATCAGGTACACCAGCAGCAACGTCTCGGTCTGCACGCAAAAACAAAACCCCAGCCGTTGTAGAAACAAACCAAAATGTACTAACTCTTTCTAAAGTACACGAGACAAATGCACGCATCGCTGAATCGGAAATGCTGCTGGGCTTTATCTGGTTTTCGGGCGTACCTAACTTTTCCTTTCTTTCCTTTACAGCCATCCATCAATCAGCGCTGGGATCTTGTTTAGGATGGAGTCAAAGCAGACCGATCTTCTGGCTTCTCTGCCTGTGATTCCCGTAACATGTCGGCAGAGCTAATTGGCCATTTTCTCGCACTTTAGGTGAATTCAAACAGATTTCTTTTTAAATTGAATGAAACGAATGTACCATGCAGCAAGCGCAGTGTTGCCTGCAGGGTGTTAACTCTGCTGTTCTTCGCTCAGATAAATGTGGGTTTTTACAGTATGGGAAAGGCAGCTTAAGGAAGCTTGTGGCTGTGTACAAAACGCTCCGGGAAGGTAAAATAATTTAGCAGCAACCTAACTGAACACACTGACCTTTTATACTGCCTTTATGCTTCACACAAGATCACCTCACTGCTCAGAGCTGTGTTTCCTACAGGCAACCAGGGATCATTGTACACAAGTCCTGGAGAGCTCTGAACACTGCACTTGTCACCTTTTGGGTTTTAAAACTCGCCCTTGCTTTAATTCACACAGACTCCTTGAAGGACGGTGACAGCAGGCATACCGTGCATCCCCGTCCTCCCTATGCTCTGCTTGTGGAAGGACTGAGCTCCCAAGCACTGAACTCAAACCCAACAGAAATAAGTTTATTTTTCAAAGTTATTTCCTAGATCCTTTAGAAACAGGTTAGGAATCCCTGGAAGTCCAAGACCCCAAGTTGAAACTCATTGCATCCCAGCCTTATCCATCTCCCCCAAAGAGCCTGCCAGCTTAAGGCTTACCTCATAGTCCACACTTCGCTTCAGCTGCAGCTCGGAGCCCTGTATAGTGAAAAAACCGACATCGGGGGAAGCAGGATCAATGATTACAGTGAAGTTTGGTTCCACATGGATAGTGGTCACCACGTAGCCAAGAGGGTTATTTTCATAAACACTTGGTCGGCTATTATTGACAGAACATCCTGGAGAAACACACAAATGAGACAAAATTGCCCAGGGGTTCATACTGGGACAGTGTTGGGTGAGAAATGAGACCGGAGCCCCCTCTGGATGCCATTGGAGAGAAGGTCATTGAACGAAGCCGTCTCAGAGTAAGAGTGGAAACATTCTCCCACCTATGGTGCAAGCTGCTGCTGGGGGGGGTTATTTCTTCGTGGTCATGGACCTCCTGCAAGAGCTTACCTTGTTGCTGCGCTGAAACCTGGGTTGTGAAGGGCAGCAGAAAGAGCCCAGAAGTGAGGAGCCAGTGAGAAACAGCCATGGTGAGCTGCCAGTTGTTGAAGAATTCCCTGTTGCCGATTAAGCTGATCCTCTTCTCTCCCTGTTTCTCCAGGTGCCGTCCTCTGTGTTCACTGCTTCATGAAGGCAAAAAGCATTGGCTGGCTAGAGTGGATTACTGCAGTTCAACCTTTGCCTCTTTGCCTCATTGGATCACCAATTGAAAGGTATTTACCAGTCACGGAACATGATAACGCATAAATTCCTGTCTCTACTTTGTTCCTGGGCCTTTCCCATCCTAAACTCTCTGTAGTAACGAGGATATATTTGAAGCATTTTAGAATTCAGAGCCAATTCCCCCGAGATGAGCAGGCAGAAGGACAAGGGCTGACACTTGGGAAGCTGTCTGTATACTCCAGCCTCTCCCAGTGCGGAGGAAGCAGGCAAATTTATGTTTCTGATGGGTCAGAGATAGGGTCTGTTGTGGTCAGATCATTTCCTGGAAAAAGGCATAGTGATGCTGCTATATCCCCTACACCTTATTTATTTTAGCCAGGTTTTTTCTGCATGGCCCACATTCCCTTTTATAACAGGTTTTGCTCTCTGCCCCATGACTTACATTTTCTCTCTTCTAGTTGCAGTCTGTCATGCAGACAGTCTGAAAAACAGATTTCTTAAAAAAAAAATAATTAAAAAGCCAGCTCTGGAATGTCTTATTGTCATTTCTGGAAAAGGCAAAGGTTTCAGTGAAGACAAAGCCATCTAGGCTGCTCTTTTGTCTGGATGGTAAAGGAAGGAGGTAGGCCCTGTGTAGGTTGAGATAATGAGTTATGTTTCTGAGACATTCTTGTTATTCCCAGCCACCCTACGGTACCCTGGCAAGGTGAGCAGAGTGGATCCAGAGACAGGGACCGGGCTCCGCTGCAGCCCGGTGATTGCCCAGCAGCTTTGTAGGGACAACGCATGTCTCCTTCTGCCAGTGGCCAGCAGTGGCTCTTTGTAAGGATGCTCACCTGAATCTCCATCCAGGCTCCACTTGTTTACATCTCAGCAGCTTCCAAAGCCTCACGAGCATGATATTCTGCTGTCTTGTCCAGTCTGTTTCTGAGTAAAGTTTTCCAAGCCAAACATCACCTGGTGAGGTGTTTAGCTGCTCGTGCAAAGAAACACCATTGTTTTCAACTTGCCTGTTGCATAGGAGGAGGAGAAAGGGATCAACTGCTCTCAGTGCTCCTTTTAAAATCCCAGTTGATTTCAGAAAGTTCTCAGGTGCTGCATTTTAGCCAGATGGCCGTTAGTGGCTTAATCAAATGCAGACTGTCAACACTCCTTCCAAAAGTCCTCCAAGAGGTCTCTTTCCTAGGAGAGATTTCCTATGGACCAAAATAAACAAATGCCAAGGTCCATGAGAACAGCATTTCAGCGTCCCAGTAAGGGAACGGGGGCTCAGGTGAACGTTTGAAGGACTGCCTTCTTTGCAGATGTCAGGTGCATCATAAAGGGTGAAAAGTAATGGTGCAGGATGGACCGAGCAGCTCTGCCGTAGGCACACACAGTTGCAGCTGAAGATGCCTTATTTTAGAGCTGCTCGTCAAAATCCGTTGGTTTTACAGAAAGGTGGAGTTGCTGTTCTATCAGAGGAGGGAACCTGCCAGGCAGCGTGGTGCAGGGATAACACGTGAACCTCATTAAACGGGGGAACAAATTCCTCCCAGTGGACCTTTGAGTTTAGTGGCAATGAGAAAGCTGGGCCAGTAAACACAGGGGCAGAATGAAGTAAAAACAATATTTATGGCGTGTATCTATGTTGCGTAGCTCTCAGTATATTTCTCTGCAATAAAATCTAGCACCTGCTAAGTTTCTGCTAAGTGGAGGCCCTGATGCACAGTTGCACCGTGGGCAGTGCTGAGTCCCAGCCATGGAAGATGTGGCCAGGGACTCCTGCTAGTCCCAACACGCCGCGCGTGGGGAAAGCCTGGTAAAATACTTCTCCCCCCAACCGTGCGTTCCCCGTGTTCCAACACCTCGGTACCACCCTGATTGCTGTTTCCCAGAGAGCAGCCAAAGCACGGGCGTAGCCAACAAACCTTTATTTGACTTCAGACGCTGCCACAAAGTGGAAGTGATGTGCTTCATTCAGGCTCCATCTACTGACCAGTTCACACTGACATATATTTCACTCTTGATAATCTTAAGAGGTTTTATTGGGTTTTGGCTCTTTTCCAGAATTTTTTTTTTTTATTTACTGATCTCAAGAGTTTTTCCTAAGCAAACTCAATAGTTTCCCTGTTTATTTTCAAGGCTATATACATGCAAAACCATCTCCTTGACCGTTTCTTTCCCATCACCTTCAGTCGAAAGTGTGTGTATCTTCCTTCACGTCTGCAGCCAGCTGCTTAGAGATGGGGCAAACGTACTGGCTGGTAATTGCAGCAGCTTCCCTGGCATCGCTGTCCGAGCGGCTGTTGGAAGGGAAAAGACAAGTGATAGTTTGTTATTTCTGGGGGCACGGACTGCAGGAAGGGTGACAAGGCCACCTTGTAGAATTCAAAGATGACTCCAAGGAGCAGATGTAGGATAGAGCGACCCAGATCGTGGCTGCCTGCAGCCAGGCACCCCACAGATGCACAGGCAAGCCTGGTGGTGTTATCATCCCCATTTATTCCGGGCAATGGGGACAAGAGGTACGAAGGACCAGCTTATTCCTCCTCATTTTAGTGATTTGACAGTGAGATGTCTAAGTGAAGGTGGTTGGTCTCTAGGAAGAGACGATGCCCAGATGCTGGGACAGCCCATCCTGAGGTGTGTGTTTGAATCAGTAACTGAATCCAGAGAGGGTAGCAAAGGCTTTCTATTTTAACTGTTAGATCAGGGATGAACAACTGTTTCAGTCCAGGATGTCAACTCTATGATTAGAAAAAAGGTATTACGTCATTTCCCTGGGTTTTATTATTTTTAATAACTGGCTTTTATATGACATTTCTTAGCTCAATGCCAGCTTTGCTTTAGGCCAGGTAAAACTGAGTGCCAGGTGGGCTTGGCAGGTAAGAAATAGAGATTAGGGTGAATGTAGGCACAGGAATCGAGACTGCACGCAGCCGCGTGCCGCCTTGCAGTTAGACGGAAGCTTTTGCTTTTCTGGTTCTGCAAACCACCCCTGGGAGCGTGGTTGCTGGCAGAATGACAGGAGGTACAAAACTGTGTGACGAGGGCTGCAATTCAGCAATGACCGTCCCCGAGGCCTCACAAGCTGATGGGGAATGAGGCAGAAGTGATTATTAAATATGGACAATTCAATAAATCTTCCGCCCTTCCCCTTTTTGAGGATACCAAATGAGCCCTTCTGATCTGCTGCATTACATCAGGCTTCTGCGCTTGAGGCAAAATCTGGGCTTTTACAAGTTACTAAAAGTCCTCTTTCGGCTTCAACGCTTTGGTGGTCAGGGCCATAGAGGTGACAAATCTGTCCCACCTACCTGGTGTTTAGAAAGCTCTGGTACAACCACATAAAGCAAAGTTCCTCGTGGCTGTTTTCTTCCTCTCTCCCCTGCACATCTGTGTTGACTGGGCCAGAGGAGCTGGTTCAGATAAAGAAAATTAATAATCATTAAAAAAAAAAAAAAACCACAAATAGTGTAAGCAGCACTGCTGTCTGGAAGGCAGGTTCACTCCTCCAGCGACCTGCCCCATGGTCCGTGCTCTGTTAACCTGCTGACTGTCACCATCATTGTGCAGGAAGAAGAAGAAGAAGTATCCTCTTCAAATCAGGCTCGGATGCTTTCTGGCTGGCAAAGGGACAGGTTTCAATATGCGCTTGCACCATGCCTCATTACCCAGTACCGGCATGTCCTTCCACCCATGGATGTATACCTTCTCCCAGCATTTGGAAATTAAAAATCTACTGCGTCTGCCAGGATTTTGTTAGCGGTGCACGCCCCAGAAAATATCAGAGCACCTGAACAGATGGGAAGGATTCAATGTGCTACGTCTCTGCCTTGAAGGAAGGGCGAGGCTCGAAGGAAACCTCTCCAGGCAACGTTGTCCCTTCATAACATACCGGCAGCAAGGGCAGCAGCAGTCGTGAGCTGCATCACAGTGCGCCACGTGGTGATGTGCTCATACACGTGGCTTCAGTGGGAGCTGGTGACCCCGTGTTTCGGCTGGATGAAAGACCCCATATTGGCCATATATACGATTATGTCTAAAGCCTGCCCAGTTTGGCAGTCAGAGCCATGGATGGGGACTATGAAACCCAGAGGCCCTCCTCATTCTGTTACGGAGCCCATTTACCTACAAACAGTTTCTCAGGTACTTTATTTGAAGAAGGTGAATCGCCTATAACTTTCCCCAGAAGGCTAAATCAAAATGCAAACAAAACATCCTGGGCTGTGATCTGATACAAAAAGTTTTGTGTCCTATGCATTAAGCTTGACGTGCATATGCAGTAGACAGTGTTGGTTTATGCCTGGAAATGGCCTCGGTGAGAAGGTTTGTGTCCTGCTCTGCCACTATTGCACAGCAGCTCCAGGCACAGGAGAGGACCAAGCCCCAGCCCAGAGTTTCCCAAACCACTGGTGATGCCACCCCCCTTTCCTTGGAGCTGAGACCTGCCTCCCTGCAGCCTGCGTGCCCCAAGCTGCCTTCCCATTCCCAGGAAGCAGAGCTCTTACCTGCGCTTGCGGCCCATGAGATTTTGAATGAATTTCTGAACCTGAGCGTTTCCTCTCATCTTGCTGTACTCGCTGGTAAACAGTCCGTCAGAGTGCCTCTGGGACCTGCGGCAGGGAAACCACAGTACAGCGGCCGCTCCTCCCAGCCATGTGATGTGGGGCTTATCACAAACCACAGAGATTTCTCTCTTCCCACCATCAAGGACCCCCATATCCCTCCCCTTCTCTTCCATCTCCTCTCATCTTGGGCATCTTCTGGATGAGGCCAGTGCTCAGGCTGGCTCTGGAGCTGGAGACAGCTCAGCCCCATGGGCATCCCCCTCATTGCTGGGATCCCATCTCCCGCTGGAGACTTCCATGTCCCAGGAGGGTGGTTTTGGCTGGTCCTTACCTCTCCTTGAGGCCCACCAGGTGTTTGACTAGCTGCCGCACGTAGGCGTTGCCATTCATCTTGCTGAGCTCACTGTGGAAGAGCCCATCGGCGTGTCTCACAGTCCTGGGAGGTTAGAAGAGAAGGAAGAGGTGCAAAGCCATGGGCTTAAGACCAAAGAAGAACGGACATTTAAAACTACTTCCTCA